TATGAGGACATCCCCTACACACTCCAACACCTGTGAACAAACTCATTGGTGGAACATGAAGGTGGACCCTGGGACCCAGACCCTGAGCTGTGTAAAGGGCCCCCAAAAAATAGAGCTGCTTCCCGTTCTCCCAGAACATTGATTTTTGTGACCACAGTTACAAACCGCCTCCAGAGAGCCTGTTCTACACCAGACCAGTGGAGCCAGACTGCAGCTAGAGCCCATCATCATCCTCATCTGGTTGTAAGTAGTCAATCTAGTATATTATTTGTGGCACTAATCTCTAATTTACCTCACATTAAAGAAACACTGTAGTCCCCAGAACCACTGCAGCTTAATGTAGTTGTTCTGGTGTCTATAGCCTGTCCCTGCAGGCCTTTTAATGTAAACATGGCGGCACTGCGGCACTGGCGTTAGTTAACATGGCAGATCATATGGGTGGGGCATTGTGATGTCACATGGGGGGGTGGCAAACTTTACTTTTGCCTAGGGCGGCAAAAATCCTTGCACCGGCCCTGTCTGTACTTGTTCCTAAAGGTTGCTCCTGTATTCCTCCAGTGGCAGAGTGTCCTCTAGTAAAGGCATCTCTATTATATTACAATACTGAACTGGATTCACCAGATGTCTTATATATTGTGTACTGCCTAGGTTTACAGATCGGTCTCCTCCATCTTGCAAATCTTGGTACTTTTACCACTTATAGACCCTATGTTCGTTATAGTCTGTTGCCACTTTGTCCTGTTTCTCCCTTTTAAATGTAATGAGATCAGTTTTTGTATAGTTTCACACTATTTTCCAATTTCAATAAAAATGTTGGAGTCACTTCAGGTGTTGCAAGTAACACAGCTTGACGTGTTTCTAACTCTGTGATTTTTCTTCTGATTTGCACTAAATCTTCCCTAACATCCACTATAATAATCAAAATAAGGTCTAATGAACATTTATTCAATACTGAAGTCCACGTTTTGCAAACACCCAGTTTCAATCTCCCAATGGTAGGTATATTGCTTACCCTAAAGCCCCTTGGGATCTTCAGTTTCCGATGATATTCTGACAGGAACAGACCATGCAGGTCCAGATCCATTTCTCTCTTTTCTAATCGGAGTAATTCAAAGTAAATATCCTATAATGAAGTAGTGTTTGGAAGATCAGATGCCAATGTCTCCCATCTAATCCTCTCTGCATCACTATACTGCCAAATTTCTGCCTGTTCAGCTCGTCCACCTGCTAGCGTGAAACAATCATCCATAGACACAAAATTTTTTTATTAAAGTGCATCAAAAAAGCAAATGAAGAGAAAAAGAAAAACTCATAACGTAAAAAAAAGGAGAAAAAACAAATATTCAAAACGTAGGTAGACATCAAGTCAAATTGTAAATTGAGGGTGCATAGAAAGCCAGCTCCTGCCAGAAAGCTGAATAACACACAAAAATAGAAAAATCCTGCACTCCACCAAAACTACCATATTGTCCAGCCAAAAATACAAACATATACAAAAGGATAGTGAAAGGGTTAATGCTGTTCTGGACTCAACTCCCCTCGATTCTCGATCCTCTGGTCACCACATCAATTGATGGACACAATCTTTCAGAACTCTCAGAGACTTAAAAAAATTATACTATACCATGTTCTAAGGCATGGCAAACCTTTAGACCGGTCAGTCTCCAAGAGCCTTTGTAACACAGGTAAAAACCTTTGTCCATGATGTCTGATCCAGGCTATATACCACAATTCACAAAGAACACATATAATGTGAGACATAGAAGACACAAAACATAGGCAGTAGCTGAATCATTTAAAGCATCTGTAGCAATAGAAAGGTTAGCTTTCAGCACAAAATGAAGCATGTGTTGGACCGCTGAAAATGTAAATGTTGCTCTCTTATTTACAAACAAAAATCATATTAACAGTATGGATCCTCTGCAACAAACACACAGGGCATGGAAGATGTGCTGATTGGTGTTCTATACAATTAATCCCATACGAGCAATTAACTTTGAAATACTAATGAAGTGACTTGTTAGCAAATTTAAGACACACAGACACGAAAGAGTGCTTAACAAGTTCTCAATGAGTATATGTTCAGGGCTAGCATTTATACACAGTTTGTCATGCAAGCAGTGAGATCTATAGTATCCTTGTAGTTAATAGTACATACTTGTCGGACATGAAAAAGATAAGCATTTGGATAAAGACGAGACGGGAACATCCTAAGGTCAAGGAAGGTCCTGTAGACGAAAGACCTTGGTTCAAAATACATCTGCCAAAGTCAGCATAATTATTTCAAACATTATTTTAAAGCAAGAAAGAGTTTAACTATTTCATATCCTTACAGTCAGTACTAATGATTATTATAACGGAGCTCCCTGTACTCCGACTGAGTACCCTCCGTTGACGGATGCTCCTAGCGCTTCCTGAGGACTCCAAGCGCTGCAGCAGACACCACAACCACCGCAGACTCCGCAACCGCCGTATCTTGACTGGAGTCTCGCCGTCTTCCTTCCACCCTGGATCAGCTTCTGTCCTCCAGGACTGTGTGAGAAAGAACTCTTCCTTCCACCCTGTATGAACCTCCAGCATCCAGGACTGTGTGGTGAAAACCCCTCCTCCAAGGAGAGCGTGTCAGGAACAAGCTCTTAAAAGAGCTAAGTGACTCAAGCTCAAGGGAGCATGCAGAGCATAGCAATCCCCAGTGTGATTATAACAGCTCCCTCCAATAACGAGACAAGGCTACTTTTAGAGGGATCAAGAAGAACTGTCAAAACCTTTATTTCCCTTGGGACCAGCCAATAGGGTCACCACAATAACATTGTTGTGAAACCTCAATAAAATCACAAACAGTCAAATCATATCAAGCAACACACAGTGACTTATCACAACACAATGGCACATTTTTAAAGGGGTGGGGGGAGACAATATTTAACAGTAAATATCTCACCTGCCTGCAGAATTAGCAATATGCAAATCTACCCGAATATGCAAATGAACCAGTCTTGCAATTCAGGTAGTGCATATTGCTGTTGCTACCAACAGAGGGCACTAGACAAGCTCCATAACCAAACCCACCTAGTTGGTAGCAAACCTCAGCAATACAAGAGAGCAGGCAATACATTACACAGTACACACACACACACTATAAACAATTACATTACACACACCCTGCACCTATAATGGGTACAGGGTGACTAAAACATAAGATAAATAAAGCAGCCTACATAAATAGTCTGTCTGAAGGTAGACTAGGGGCTTTAAAGCCAGATACATGAAAGAGTCATAGTCACAGGGGAGGAGGCTGGCAAGTAGGCCTCACCAGGACCAAGTGGCGAAGGGCACTTCGTCACAATTATAAACCTTATCTAAGCATAAAATACATATGAACAAGGAAAGTTAACTATTTCAGCTTTCATCTCCCTCTTTGAGCAATACATTGCTCATCTTATCGGTTAAAATCTTCCCAGGACAGAGACACTTCCACATTATGGTATTCCCAAGCAATCATGTGGTCTACAAGAAACAGAAACTCAGCAGGAAAAAAGACACTTAATACTTTTACAGACAGATATATAGAAAATGGATGTTTAAGACAAAATGGAACTTGGGCTTATAGCAAATATATTATTGCAAATAGCTGACATGTTAACCAATTTTAAACAGACTAACCAGCCTGTCATCTGTATCGTAAGCCCTGGGTAAATATGGGCAAAGTGTATTATTCCCAACAGTTATTTTCCTCCTTTGTCCACGGAAGTGGGCGCATGTAGTCTAAGTGGGAATAATACCTATCCCCCGTTCAAGGACCGGGGTCTAGGATTACCAGTCCACCCGATGATCTGGGGCCAGGCAAAAAACCCCAGTGGCAAAAACTCATATTTGAGGAAAAAGCACATCTGGGGAAAACCTGAGTGGGGGCCGCGATCGTGTTAGACATGTCATCCCCTCACAATTGACACCACTTGTGACTTATAATACCCGCACCTGTGAGTACATAGCTCGGGTATCGGGAGGAATTGGGAAACACTTCTTACATATTAATTCATGAGATAAATTATAATCTAGCTTGAAATTCTGACAATAATAACCAGGACCTTGCGTCCTATATCTTTTAACCATTTCCCTATTCCAAAGGTCCAGTCAAAACCAGTCATATCCTCATGCAGTTTCACAAAACATAGGAATCCATCCTTGGCACACTCAACATATATCAAAAACACACATAATACATTCATCCCTGGGTCAGCTAACACTTCCTCTCTCTCTCCGGCTAACTCTACAAAAGTAAAAATAAAAATAAAAATAGTTCAATAGTTCAGCATAGTTCAGAAAAATAGAATAAGTCTTTCACAGAGTGTAAAGAAATCAGTTTAGACACCAGACATTTTGTTCCATAAAATGGCTAGGGTAGCAATATGGCTGACAACAAGACAATGTCAGCTTCCACATAGTTCTTCTTTTGTTTGCTGGATTTTCACCACAATGCTCTGTGCAACACCCCAATGGTTGAAAGGGTTATTACAGAACCAGCGGTATTAAACAGCACTGCACCTTCAGGACTTTCCAGGTTCTTGCGTGCAAAGTTTATGTCCTCATAAGTATCTCAGTTTCTTCGGCCTGCATGCATAATGACCAAACAGATGTAATTGCAAAATACTTATTGCATGGTCAGCCGGAGAGATTGATGTGTAGTCCCAGAAATCAGGTGGCACAAACACTCCAGGACGGTCTCTACAATCATACAAACACAAGGATCAATACAACATCATTAATTAATTACCTAGGCTAAAACTTAAATTGGAGATTAAGGTTTAACTTGTGTAACATGTACTTAACTTGTGTAACATGTACTTCTCTTACATTTGCTTATATTTTATGCAATCTGTCTTCTATGAAGTTTTACATAATCAATGAGGCATTCTAGATGAATCTTACTTTGACACAAACAATGCAATATACTTTAAAAGTAGAGTTAACTCTGAGCTGGACAATACTCCCCTATTAGAACTCCTTTATGAGGGAGAGACATCTTGTCCATTCAATCCTTTTTATCAGTAAAAGAATGACTTTCAGGATTAATCAGTTTGCAAATGGAAATGTGGAGCCACGATTTGAACAGCAGAAGTTTGCGGGGCCCCTTTCACGTGGGATGTAACAAGCGCTTTTCTTGCTCCAGGAGCGATAGCATACAATTGTTTCATTCTAGCCGGCTGGACAGCATTTCACCTTTTGTAAAAACACTAAATGCTTGCGTTAATGATATGCAAATCACTCTGCTAGTTAAACTCCTACACAATGGACAATAAAATACATGAAACACATAACACACCAATTCATTTCAAACCATATAACTCATACTCAGCATCCAATGTAATATTACACGTCATCTCCCAAAACAGACGTAGTAGATACACGTATCGGATACCCAGCAGATATGCCAATACAGAAAACACATTCATGAGCACACAACTACACACTCTGTGTCCCTCCTAGGAAACACGGGTAGACACAATATGAAAGCAGTCTTAAACTGGTATAGCTATACCAGACCACAACAAAGAGCCTCTCTGAGCTCATAGAACTACTCCAACTCAAACTACTCTTGGCCAAACCGCTAGTATTCAACAGCTAATAAAACAGTTATTTGCTAGGTTATTTGGCTGGCATTTGTATCAGTATCACTAGACTGAAACAAACTGATTCAAATATAATTTAAAACAACACATCAACATATAAATTAAACCACTTTCCAGTTAAGCTGCATACTTCACACATTATCACAATCACCATTTACACAGAATAAACAGTTAACAGCTGTACTCAGAACATATTATTGTAAGGTATACCAATTTTAGTTTGTATTAGATTTATTTTAGGAATTCTTATGCATACATGTTTTTTTTTTTTTAATTAACGTCATTACTTTAATCTACTATAGTATTGTATATAAAGAAAGGATCCATTTATATAGCGCGCTCATAACTCAAATATTTGTCTGAAACGACCATTAACTAATCTGATATGATGCTGCATCAATTTTAAATCTTACAGAAATTTTGCAAACATCTGGACCAGATTACACAGACATGGTTTCACCCGAATCTTTCAGAACTCTCAGAGACTTAAAAAAATTATACTATACCATGTTCTAAGGCATGGCAAACCTTTAGACCGGTCAGTCTCCAAGAGCCTTTGTAACACAGGTAAAAACCTTTGTCCATGATGTCTGATCCAGGCTATATACCACAATTCACAAAAACACATATAATGTGAGACATAGAAGACACAAAACATAGGCAGTAGCTGAATCATTTAAAGCATCTGTAGCAATAGAAAGGTTAGCTTTCAGCACAAAATGAAGCATGTGTTGGACCGCTGAAAATGTAAATGTTGCGCTCTTATTTACAAACAAAAATCATATTAACAGTATGGATCCTCTGCAACAAACACACAGGGCATGGAAGATGTGCTGATTGGTGTTCTATACAATTAATCCCATACGAGGAATTAACTTTCAAATACTAATGAAGTGACTTTTTGTCTCAGTTATAAAAATACTGAGCTCATCATGCAAACAATGTAACACATTTACTCTATCCCACTCTCATAGAAAGTGTAGTGGGCTTATGGTGTTAAAGTAACAATCATACCAGGCACACAGATCCCATGTGAAATAACTTACAATAAAACAGAGTAATAAACTATACTTCTATGTGACATAAAGGATAAAGCAAAAGATTTAAGTAGGTCTATCAGGTACAACCTGCGAGTCAGTTCTTTTCTAATATACAGTACTGGTATCTTTTATATATATATGTATATATATTGGTCACTCAGGACCTGAACTTACATTTCCCATACTGCTGACTCAGGGCAGACACACTACTAACTTACCAAAGTGTGTCCCCAATACAGACAATAACCCACAAAGAACATTTAAGACAAACAAAGGTGACCAGGAGAAAGAGAAGTTTGGGGTATACTTATAGATCTATAAACCGTGCTCCTCAGAACACCTATAGTCTTAATAAACCTGAGACCTCTTATGGTCTCAAAAACCTGTATCTATCTCAGATACTAACCTGGGTTACCAAGAACCCCTATATATATTTAGACCAAATGTCTAATAAACCGGAGACCTATTTACAGTCTCAATACAACTAAAGTCCTTACACCTTTCCTTTCTACTGGATACAGTCTTACTGAACCAAAGGGGGTCATAGACAATTAGCGTCAATAAGACACAAAAAGGCTACTCACCGCAAATGGTCCTGCTGTATCCCACTTCTGACACCAAGCTGAAAGGGTTAATGCTGTTCTGGACTCAACTCCCCTCGATTCTCGATCCTCCGGTCACCACATCAATTGATGGGAGTTCTTGTTAGCAAATTTAAGACACACAGACACGAAAGAGTGCTTAACAAGTTCTCAATGAGTATATTTTCAGGGCTAGCATTTATACACAGTTTGTCATGCAAGCAGTGAGATCTATAGTGTCCTTGTAGTTAATAGTACATACTTGTCGGACATGAAAAAGATAAGCATTTGGATAAAGACGAGACAGGAACATCCTAAGGTCAAGGAAGGTCATACATCCTGTAGACGAAAGACCTTGGTACAAAATACATCTGCCAAAGTCAGCATAATTATTTCAAACATTATTTTAAAGCAAGAAAGAGTTTAACTATTTCATATCCTTACAGTCAGTACTAATGATTATAAACCTTATCTAAGCATAAAATACATATGAACAAGGAAAGTTAACTATTTCAGCTTTCAGATAGCACTCCAGGGACTTAAAATAAGACTTAACTTTTATTACCGTGAATAAAAAATGTCAACGTTTCAGCTTAATTCCCTCAAGCTTTCATCAGGACAAATGTGCATACAAACTTCCCCAACATATATAGCTCAAAAAACACACCACTCTATAATATATTATACATATATATGTATATTGTTTTTTTCTTTTACTTTTTAGCAGCCTGGGAGACTGTCTGACAGCTCAGACAGTTCCCCTGCTGGCAGCTCCTAGACTCCTATTGTGGCGATGTGATCATGGTGATCACATGGTCATGGAGGGCCGGGATGGCTGGAGCTGCTGCAGGGGGACTGCTGGGGTCTCCAGCAGTCCCCCCCCCCCCGACCTTGATCGCCGCTTATCGCTGGTCCAGGTAAGTCCAGGGCTCCTATTTGCTGCGTTCGTACTAGGTACGTCCGCGGTCATTAACAACCATTTTTTTGTACTTATAGCCTTATAACTTTCCAAGAAAAGCTAAGAACATGTTAACATTGGGCATTTCTAAACTCAGGACAAAATTTAGAAACTATTTTCAATAAAGCGGTCACATGGCCCCTGGGGGTCCTAAATTGCAGAGGGGGGACTCTCTGGGCATAGCCTAGAGAGTTCCCCCTAAGAAAACCTAAGATTGTCGGTGAGGGAACGGCAGCAATCGGTAAATACATGGGGAGGGAGAGGGAGGGTTGGGGTTATTTTTTTAAATAATTTTTAATCATTTTTTTTCATATTTAATGAGTGTCTGCATTGGAAGCCTGTCTGGTGGCTTCCAATGTTCTGACAATTAATACATTTTAAAGTAAAATACATAAAAAAATTAAAAAAAGAGCTGGAGGGAACTGGAGGAAAAGAAAAAAATGGGGCGGGGAGTGTGTTTATAAAGGTACACCAAGATGGCCGCCGAAGCAAGACCATAGGGTACACCAGTATGGCTGCTGCCAGTCAAAAAACAGTCGTCGGGATGGCTGGAATATTAAAAACTTAAGCCCATGGATGAGGAGGGAGCCCTGAAGTGTGAAGAAGTGGGCTTTGTGAAAAACTCTCAAAGCTAGCGTTTTTGTGGCTGCAAGAGCACACCAAAGGTGGTGTACTAAAATGGCTCCTGATCAGATGACATTGGCTGTGTTGTCATGGACACAGGGTGGGGCTACCCTCCTAGCTCAAAGGAGTGTCTTTATTATGGTTAAAAAATGTTTTGAAACATAGTGATTTAAGAAGCCTTTGGAAATGTTGCGGCAGTGTTCAGCAATCTGGGTCTTTAAGCACCTTGTTGTCATGCCAACATATTAAAGTTTACAAGAGAATTCTAATAAGTAGATAACATTCTCTGAGTGGCATGTAGTGAAACTGTTAGTATTGAAGCTAAACATAAGCTTCAGAAAATTGTAAGTGGCATTTTTCCTATTTTACCTCATCACCTATTGAATGTAGCCCATGGAGCAGCGCAGCGAAGTGTCTTGACATGGCTAGGAGACAGGCATTGGAGGTGTTTATGTGAAGGTTTGGCTATAGAAAGTAGGGGTGGGGTTTTTAGATTATGGGAGTATATACAGCGGCCAGTTTAGATCAAGGGCAATCTTAATTAATCCTCACTTACCTGTTTTGTGGCAGGTCTGTGTGGTGTCTCGTTTTTCTGTCTTTCAGGTGCTGCTGTCTTGAAGAATGGAAGATTAGCTGGTTGGTGTGCATTCTGCAGTCCAGCACAGAGGGGTCGTCTGGCTCCAGGAGCGGTTAGGCCCTGGTCCCATCTGGGCCTGCTGCTGCAGGGCCCACAGCGATGACCGAGATGAGGTCTGGACGACCGGCTCAGATTACCCGACCGCCGCAAAGTCTGAGCCCTGGAGAAGGATTCACTGGGCATAGGAGGGCAAGCCCATCGCTGCCAGCCAGGCCAGAGGCTGTGTAAGCAGACGGGAAGCCTGGGATTTTGGAAGCTCTGGTACGGCATCGCCCTGAGGAAACCTAGAAGCGAGGTTGTGTCGTCACGTTCCGGCCGTGAAGGACCAGGACGTTCAGACCACGAACAGGCGTCGGCAGACAGTGGTTAACAGGAGCCTTGGGAAGTTGGTGAACGTTTGGCAGCATGCAAACATTCTGGCCGCGAACGGCCGCGTTCTGGAGCGAGAGGACGTTTGGGCCGCGAACAGGAGACGGCTGGAAGTCGTGTACGGACAGCGAGTGGGGGATCCCACGGCGACGGTGATGGCGGGGGCAACGTCCATGTTAGGGGATGAAAGGGAGGGTCTATTGCGGGGCACCTGGGTTGTCACTTCAAGGCTGTCACCTCAATTCTTTTTTCTTCTCCCTCTTGATGAATATTTGGATATGAAGGAGGAGGATAGGAAAGATACTAAGAAAGAGGAGGAGGAGAAGCGTTGGCGCTACCGCAAAATTCCCAAAACATTTGGGAACTGGTTGCAGGCATTTTGCATCCTGGCCAGTGTCGTTGGGGAAAAAAAAACCCTGATCGATGCTCTCAGCTTTTTTGTTACTTGGACGGTGTCTGGGAAGCATATCACACATACGG